TTCTCACTGCCATCTGAGGAATGACCCAGACCTCTACATGATATACGAACAGCAAAACTGGATATCCGGATCGAACGGATAGATAGGTTTTAAACACTAGGAGTCTGTAAAAAAAAAAAACTTGTACATTGCTATGTCTTCTCTGCTACAGTGCCAGAGAGCAAGCGTCGGTCGTGATTCAGCTTGATCGGGTCTCCTAACTCGTTCGGCGGAGTACCGGTTAGGCGTCGATAGCGCCGTGCCCACACCTTGACGAAAGTGAACGCAGCCTCCCCGTCGAGCACTCCGTGAGCGAAGTCGAGACCAATGACTAGTCCACCGTCCGAGAGTACGGACGCTTTGGTTGTAATGAGTTGGTGTCGACCCTCCCGTGCAGGTGGCATGAAGTCGTACGAGAGTGACTCGAGTGCTTGGTCAGTGGTTTGAGTACACGAGAGGTCCGTCACGAAAAGGGCTGTTGTGGCGATCTTGTTTGGGTCTAGCTTGACGTAAAGCATGCCGCACCGTTCAGAATCGATGTGAAGCTCGCCGTTCAGGATCGGATAGTCTTGGTTCAATGTCTCGATGAAAGATGCCTTCAATATTTCCAAATCGTAGCTGTGGTTCTGCGTGGGCTTGTAGATGTACAGGATCATGACGTCGATGTTTGTCATGACAGCGTCCATGGGGGACAAGTCCACGATCTTGGTAGCTCGGTCGATGGTTATGACAGTGGAGAACTTGATTGATTATTGGGTACTTAAATCGAGCATGAGCAGCAATTATAAGGTGGAAATACTATGGACGTAGGAAGTAGCTTCCAAGGCCATAGATGCCTCTCGCTTCCTACTACAGTAAATGGCTGCATACTATTCGACGGATGTGGTGAAGCTTTCGATGATTTCGTCGAAAAGATACTTTTCGGGACATGTTGGAGTGAAATTGTGGCGCTATCAACCTGGATTACGCAAGGGAGGATCTGTAATAGAATCGCTTCTCGAGGAACGGTCTGGTGTTTACCAATACAGGGAAAAACATACTTTCTTCAGTAATAAAAATGTCATTCTGCGACTTTGAGCACAAAGTTGCTTCATGAGATAAAGTGTGCTTATTGTGTTTGTCTTCCTTTCTTTATGCGCGAGTAGCAACTATTCTGCGCTATTATGCTCATGAGAATGCACAGTATTTAATATATATTATAGAACCGGTAGCGAAATCTTTTCAGAGATTAAGGCTATCATATTACTAAATAATAGCATATGAAAAAAACTAAAAAGAATGATTGAAACCTGCAAGTTTTTATCATGTTTAATGTTTCTTCCTCTGGCAGTGCTCAAATTGTCACGTGCTGATATGGTACAAGTATGCGCAGACTCACCCTGAAAACTCACTAAAAAATTGCAACTGGTCTACAAAACATCCATGTTTTTGTTACTGATCCAGCTACAACTGTCACAGCGAAAACAAAATCTGCTCGTTTTGCTTATTTACGGCCCTTGGCAACGGGGCTCGGAGTTGGATAGTACAGCTTGCGGTGGCGGGCTTGAAGTCGGGTAGTAATACTTGCGAATGCTGGTCTTGCTCGCGTTAGTGTCGACGTTGCCGGTGGCAGTGGTTGGGGAAATACACAGTGAAGTGGCGATGGCGACGATAATGAGACCTTTGCCGAGTTGTATAGTTCTTGAGATCGGTCTTCTTGAATAGATTGGACGGTAAAGTAGCAAATTGACGAATGTACTAACACCTAGGTTGCTTGAGTGCTGTTATGCCTACCGCCGCGAACCTACTAGTACACTAGGGTTGTACTAATCGTAAGATAATAGTCGGTGATGTGAATTGTAGCAACAGATCATCTTGAAATGGTTGAAGGTTTGGTGCCAGTTGTCGAGTCACACCTTTAACGATCTGTTGTCGCTCAAACAATACATTGAAATGGTGAGAGGCTGTTTACTTTTAATTAGTATCGTACACTTGTTTGGTCATTTTCCCTATTCACCTTTTACTTTCTTATAAAATTTGAGCATCTCCGCTACATAAGTTATATCGAAAAGTTGTTTTTTAAACATGCTAAACTACTACCGTAGTAGTAGTAAATATAGAACTCGCATTATTTTCCGATTCAGCTGGATAATTACACATTATAATGAATGACGCCGTTGTGAACCTAAAACTATTTACTAGCCTGCTGCATTTCGAGCAGTGGAAACTATGTGAATGTGTTGCAGCAACTTGCAACGGCGCAGAACTGCACAGATCCAGCATTAAAACACGCAATGTGATCTGCTCCGAAATATATGCCGCCCCATTTGGCATATCTGTCTGTAGTATACTTCATATTCCGTCGTGGATATGGATTTCGGGGACCCTTAAGAAACTGCGGAAGTAAGACTTGATACCCATACCTAGAATGCCCAGCAAGGCATATATTATATGATCGAGATGTTATATAGAACAGGCCACATGTGAAACGTTTTGATCTCGAGGGTTGGCCGAGTTCATCTGTTCTACAGGTTTACGTCAGGTCAGCTGGAAGTATAAACGTATTGTACTTCCAGAAAATCTGACGCAATCCAGTTTGATTATGTTGCGAATCACTTGAAGAAGTACATCTTCTAATCACTTCAATCGTAATCTTTACTGCTTACTAAGGAGTCATTAGCGGAAATTAACACTATAACTGCTGTATGCTTCGTTCGTCTATACGCTCTTCGTACTTCGTTGCTCCCTTTCGCTAAGTTCATTGCCTCGCGTGGATTTTCAACTTTGATTTGGTTGTCATTCTCCAATTTCCCACTCAGCAAACAACCAAACTCTCAAATGACCATCGTGAACGTTCCCAACACCGTGGACTTGTCCCCCATGGACGCTGTCATGACAAACATCGGCGTCATGATCCTGTACATCTATAAGCCCACGCAGAATCACAGCTACAATTTGGAAATATTGAAGGCATCTTTCGTCGAGACATTGAACCAAGACTATCCGATCCTGAACGGCGAGCTTCACATCGATTCTGAACGGTGCGGCATGCTTTACGTCAAGCTGGACCCAAACAAAATCGCCACAGCAGCCCCTTTCGTGACGGACCTCTCGTGTCCTCAAACCACTGACCAAGCACTCGAGTCACTCTCGTACGACTTCATGCCACCTGCGCGGGAGGGTCAACACCAACTCATTACAGCCAAAGCGTCCGTACTCTCGGACGGTGGGCTAGTCATTGGTCTCGACTTCGCTCACGGAGTGCTCGACGGGGAGGCTGCGTTCACTTTCGTCAAGGTGTGGGCACGGCGCTATCGACGCCTAACCGGTACTCCGCCGAACGAGTTAGGAGACCCGATCAAGCTGAATCACGACCGACGCTTGCTCTCTGGACACGGAAAGAGAACTTGTGCTCCTCATCCGGAGTTCCGTGTGTATGCGTCCACTGGTGAGTACTTAACACTCGAAGCGGGGCCCATTCCTGTACCTGTCAATGATCCACCATCGACAGCTCAACGTATTTTCCACTTGAGTCCTGACATGCTTGGACGGTTGAAGAAGCTCGCCACTGAATCGACTACTGCTCCTGACTATTCATACGTGAGTACTATCGACTCGCTTACGGCACTCTTGATCGTATTGATCACTCAAGCTCGTGGTCACGGCAAAGATGTCCGCGTCGCAACGTGCGTTAATGCACGGGCCCACCTTCACCCACCACTACCAACCAACTACGTTGGTAACGCTACCTTCTTCGCGTTGCCCACCTACAAAGCGGCTGAGCTCGCTTCTGACAATTTGGTTGATACGCTGTGTCTAGTGGCTCGACGTGTCCGCGAGTCCATCGTTCGAACACGGGACGACCAATTCCTTCGTGATTCGATGGCGTTTGTCTCCTCACAGCCCGATATGAGCGCGGTGGGTGTTAGCACCGACTTCTTCTTTGGTCCAGACCTCTTCTTCACCTCGTGGGTGCGCATGGGAGCGTACGACGCCGACTTTGGAGGTGGGAAAGCGAGTTACGCTGGTCTGCCACGGCTTCCGGTTACCGATGGACTGGTTGTCATCACTGACCCAATGTATCCCGAGCAAGATGGCTTGGACGTCACTGTGTCACTTGAGAGCAAAGCAATGGAGGCTTTCAGGGACCATTGGCAATCACTCGCTCTGTGAATCTCTCACCGCATCACAGTCGGCGAAAAACACCAAGAGTGTGACGCACAATCCACAAGTTCATTTCTTTATATTCAAAAACGCGAAGGTGCAGCATAAACAAACTTTTCGTTAGCGCTAACTCGCAATACATGCACCACAACGACCATATCGATCCTACAGAGCGCTCAATTTACTGCAGCTAGGACTTCATTATCCTCTTCAACTTGAAGTAAGTTCATTTTTGACAAGTAAACACTTCAACGAGTCTCGCGCCCTGCTCATTTGTCTTTCTCGTTCATTATCCAATTTGATTTGAACCCTTCGTTTGCCCATGGAGTTGAAAGATCTGGCACCTCTACTGTTGCAGCGCGAAAGAGATTCGAGTGACGTTGATGTGGAGCTGTTGACAAACATTCTACGTGGCGGCCACGCTGCCAACGTCCACCGGAAAGGCGCTGAAGCTGCGATCTCGCATCATCCAGTGCTCTCAAAGCGAGATACAGCTTTCCAGAACCACACGCAGCGGTACGAGAGTGCTCTGGAGAAGACCCACCACTACGTGAAGCTCATTCAAAGCAGCAAAGTGGACAGCGACGCCCAGCAGATCATGTACGATGTCATCGGCGAGAAGCTGCCGATTCAAGTCCACCGCTCCATGTTCATCCCGACGTTGGAGAACCAAGCAGACGACGAGCAACAAGCTCATTGGCTGCCTCTTGCCGCGTCCTATCGGATCCTTGGAGCCTACGCTCAGACCGAATTGGGTCACGGTTCTAACGTACAAGGCCTGGAGACCACAGCCGTGTACGATAAAGAGCAGCAAGAGTTCGTTATCAACTCACCAACACTCACAAGTCGCAAATGGTGGCCTGGAGGGCTGGGAAAGACCGCTACACATGGCGTAGTGCACGCACAGCTGCGTATCGACGGTGTGCACCACGGCGTCCAGGCGTTCATCGTCCCTCTACGCTCTCTGAAAGACCATAAGCCTCTTCCTGGTATCGAAGTGGGCGATATCGGCCCAAAAGTGGGGTTCAACTCGCTTGATAATGGCTACGCTGTGTTCCATAACGTCCGCATTCCTCGACGCAATATGCTCATGCGGTATGCCAAAGTTTTACCGGATGGAACGTTCATTAAACCGCCGAGTTCAAAGCTCGTGTACCTCACTATGACCCAGATTCGAGCGTATTTGATCCTCAAGCTGGGCTTCGCTCTAGGAGCTGCCACGACCATCACCACGCGCTTTAGTGCCGTTCGTGTACAAGGACGTAAGACGAATGATAGCAACCTCACGTTGACGAGCGAGAACCCGGTGCTGGACTACCAGAACCAACAACACGCTCTCCTGCCCTTAGTTGCGCTATCGTATGCGGCCAATTTCGCTGGACGATCAATGGTTGACATGCACGACAAGGTGCTGGCCATGGTCACTAGCGGCCAGACCGATTTCGCTGCTCAGTCGGCTCAACTACACGCCATCTCGTCCGGACTCAAAGGCTGGCTAGCAGACCGCGTGAACGATGGTATTGAGCACTGTCGTCGTTTATGTGGGGGTCACGGCTTCCTGCAGAGTAGCAACTTGGCTCATATCTTTGCTGAGACCGTCGGATCTTGTACGTATGAAGGCACAGCTGACGTGCTGGTTCAACAGCATGCACGGTATCTTCTGAAGGAGCTTGGGAGCACTGCCAAGCCTCAAAATGAAGGTCTTGTGGGCTTCTTAAGTCGTAGCGACTATTACTCGAACCCGAAGCTGCGGTGCAGTGCAAACAGCCCAGAGGAGTTCGGCAGCTTTAAGCTGTTGCTGGAGGCGTTTGAGGTTCGTGCAGCTCGCTCTGTTCGTAAACTTGCGCATGCGATGAATACTTCAGGGAACAGTGCGAATGCGTGCATGATACTGATGACTGCTGCATCCACACACCATACGGAGCTGTTGCTGCTGAAGTCGTTTATCTCTGGAGTTGGTTTGCTGCCTGTGGGGACGACAAGGAACGCCGTGACGCAGTTGTGTCAGCTTTTCGGGGTGTGGCTTCTGGTCAATGGCCTTGGTGACTTCCGTCAAGACGACTATGTTTCAAGTGCACAAGCTGATATGGCGCACCAACAATTGGCAAATATGCTGCCTCTAGTGCGTCGGAATGTCGTTCGTCTTACGGACGCTTGGGATTTCAGCGACTTCGAGCTTAACTCGACCCTTGGTCGATTCGACGGAGACATCTACCGTGCGCTTGTAGAACATGCCAAGCGTGAGCCACTGAATGCATCTCAAGTGCCGGAAGGATACGAGAAGTACCTTCGTCCGCTCATCCAGTCTTCGCTGTAAGTTCATCAGATTGGTGAAGAACGCTTACACGTGAATGTGTTACTTTCCAGGCAAAAGTTAATATTGTAACGTTAACTTCTTTTTTTTATCGGCTCTAGTGCAGAAGAAGGCTGCTCAAAACGTCTTCATCATTTCCGTATAGAACTTTATGTACTCGTCTACAATAGCCATATTCGGGTCATCAAGCGTTTTCACATTCAGTAGCTTGTGAATATTGTCGTCGGATACTCCTTTGCGAAACCAGCGCGTAAATTGCGCGACTTGCAAGTCTTCTGCGAGTTTTTTTGTTTCCGAAAGCTCCTTTCCTTGTTGAATAATTTTTGCCGCGCCCACCTCTTTGTACTGATGAGTGAGAGTTTTTAGCAAGCTTTCTTCCTTTCTTGGGTTTGCCAAGTTGAAATCTTTCACATAACTGAGCCACGCGCTCAATTTCACGTCACTGAGAACTGCCGAATTCAACTTATCGAGCTTTAGCAGTTTAAACACATCGTCAGGAGATTTTTGTTTCGACAGCCATCGCAGATTCTGCTGCTCTTGCAATCTCTTCGCGATTGTTTCAGCCGTCGACGTTTTAATTGCTGTTTCGATCATTTCTGCCAGTTTGACTTCGCCGTAAATCTTCGTCAATCTTGCAAAAATCGACGAAGCTTCGCCTGAATTTTTCCTGTTGAAATGATCAACGTATGAAACCCAAGTGGGAAATGCAGGGCTCTTAAACAGCTCCTCCCCAGTATCGTCAAGCTTGAGAATCTTGAAAAAGTTCTCAGGTGATTTACCGCCACCGACCGAAGCCTTTAACTCAGCCTGCAATTTAACGGCGATGTCCTCCGTACTCGGTACCTTCTTGGCCGCTTCGATCATCTTGACTAGATCTTCTTCTTCATAGCGTCTTGCTAACAGCGTGAGCATGGACACCTTTTTATTGGGAGCATTTTTGTTGAATTCATCGACGTATGACGCCCAGGTTGTGACTTGTGGACTTTCGAAGAGCTTTGTTCCTGTTTCGTCGAGCTTGAGCAACTTAAAAATGTCGTCTCCCGATTCACCAGTACTAAACCAAACCTGTCTCTGCTGCGCCTGTAAGACACTAGCGAAGCGCTCCGTGCTCGATACCTTTTTGGCTGCTTCGATCATTGAGGCCAAAGACTCGGGAGCGTACTGCGAATTAAGCTTGGCCAGGATTATATCCTCGGGGTTCTTCTTCTCAACTTTGGTCACGAATACTGCCCACGTCATCAAATTCGGGTCTTCAAAAATCTTGTTCCCTGCAGTATTCAAACTCAGCCTCGTGAAGATGTCGTCGATGGATACCCTATTGAACATCCAAGTCTGAATCCTTAAGTTTTGTGCAAGTTTCGAAGCCACCGATCCAACGAGACTCGCGAATACTCCCTCCGCAGGAAGAGTGAGTGCTCTCTCTTGGTCATCATATGCAGTGTTTTTTGCTCTCAGCAATCTCTGCCAGGAGGTAGTGGTTGGCACGGAGCGAAGGTGTGTTGGCGCCCTGAACTGGATCAGTTTTGCTTCTGCAGTTGTCAAAGAGACAGTAGCAATTGCTAGGAAGGCAGCAAGAGTGAATACCGTTGAGAAGTTGGGACACATGAGTGACTGAGCCTTCTTCACGGTAGGATATTGAGTTTTGCCAAGCAAAATGCGAAGTGGTCGGTGTGGCTCCGCTTTGGGCCAATGTCTGGCTCAAATGGAGTCAACAGGAAAGCCAGCACTTTTTTAGGGAACCGATGCAGGATGGGAAAGCGAGAATCGATCAGTCACAAACTACCGTCTCACAGGTTATTTATTCGTAATTTAATACTATTATATTTCAAAATGCATATGATTCTACGGAGCAAAACTTTTTATAATTTGCTTTCGAAAAGCATTCGTTATAGAAGGCAACTAAATCTCGGAGCGTTATAAATTTGGTTTATACTGTACAAACTGGTAAACATAAGTTGTTTCCGTAAAGCTTTTTCGAGATAAGCATAATCGTTTTGTGAGCTGCAGCGTCATTCTACTTCCGCGTGCATCGGGTTATTTCTCATTCTCTACTCGGCTGTTGTCTCTCGGCTAGAGTCCATCTAGCGGCACGAACATGTACGTGGCGAGCGGCTCAGTGACGTCCTACAAGCGTGGTGGTTCCACGCTTCTAAACATGAGTTTACGATACGGTTTCTGCAATCAATATGACGGTGCGCAAAACACGAGCCGAAGATAATAACATACTATTTGAAGTACAGTAATGCTTTGTCGCGTTCATCAGCAAGCATATTCCCGTGGAACCCAGCAGTCTGCTGCTTGCTATTGGTTTACATGAAGGAGCTCAAGTCCAATAGAATTCACTTGCACCCGCTCGCTCATGGGGACACGGTCTGAAGCACAGAACACCATAAAGTAAATGAATGATGCATTACATATACGTGATTGCTGTTAGCCGGAAAAACATGTACCGGGATGAGCGAGCCCAAGTCCTCGAGATGCCAGTTCCAGTTGGACGTGTATTCGATGGCGAAGTAAGACACGACGGAGATTACACCCTCGTACACCTTGCTAGCGATTGAGGTGGGCAATTCGGTGGTGGGCTGCATGGTTGCTGTCTGCTAGAGGTGGACTTGGAGCTGCGGAGCAAATTGTGAAGTGGCAGTCAAAATGAACTGCCTCCAAGGCTGATGGAAAAGACCTTGATGCCTGCAGCAAGTGCGCTCTTGTGACATCATCGGTATCGCAACGCCAGCTACATAGCCACTCGAGCGTACGTTGAAATGCAATGGTCATCTTGCGCACTCGATTACGACGAGGAGGCGGCTGAGCACTAGCGGAAATCGCTGTAAACAACCACAGAAAGCGAAAACTCAACGCACCGTACTCGTGTGGCCGCGATTCATTCGTTTGTGCTCTCAAATAATAATACCAATACCGGTACTAGCAGCTATCCTTTCAAAACCTAATTACGGGTGTCGACAGCAATTTGACTCCATAAAAAAACCAGCGCACTCTCTACCTCCAATTCGTTTACATACTTCAACTTTAATCTTCAGCAAATTCCATACTCAATCCAAGTCATTTTCCGTCCGTAACCATCGTAACCTCGCAACTGCCCATTATACCACCGCAATAATGGAGACGGATGCGCTTCCTCTCGAGCGCGGCGGCGTGGAAATGACGCCTCTGCTGCAGCCCGCGGCACCGCCTCCTGTCCACGCCGTCTCGCAGGAAAACCTCACGCCCACGCACCAGAAGCAGCAGCTCATGCGACGCGTACGCAGCGTGCAAGACGCGGCCAAACACGGACTGCTACTGAGCTCTCAGACTCGCAGCACAAGCCGCCCTGGCCAATACGGAGCCGTCAACGATCCATACAGCTCTCAGTTCACATTCTCAGTGCGTGACAACTTCAATTCCAGCGATCCACTCGCCGTGCCTCAGCTAAACACGCGGAAATTGAAGTCTCTGCTACTCGACGTTGTAGTGAACGGGACGTCAGGCGTGATCGCCTTCTTACTATCGTCTACTCTAGCCGTGTCTTGCGCCAGTGTTGTCGTGGGACACGGTACTCCACTGGCCTCGGTGATCGCACACTTCATCGACATAAACCTACTGGGCACAGCAGTATTGTCTGTGGTGCTAGCCTGGCAGAGTTGCGCGCCGTGGACATTAGGCGCCATCGATGTGTTCGTGGCGCCAGTTATGGCCGAAATGGCCGAGAAGATCTCGCATCATCTGCATGGAAATTTGGAAGAGGTGGTGCCCACTACAGTCGTGATGGTGGCTATCACATCCATGGTACTAGGCCTTGTCTTCTTCTTAATGGGGTTGTTTCGCGTCACATCCATTGCAAATTACATGCCGTACCCGGTAATTGCAGGCTTTTTATCCGGAATTGGAGCGCAATTGATGAAGAACGGAGTGCACATGGCGTCCAGTAAAGCAGTGACCGCTGCATTCTTCACGTGGAAAGTGCAGTTGCTACTACTGCCTGCAGTGGCTTTCGCTGGCTTGGCAAGACTTGGGCAGTACTTAAAGTTTCCAGTGGCTTTTTCGTTCCCTTGTTTACTAGCGTTATCTCTTGTGGGATTCCAAGTTGTTGCGTCCATGTATGGATCTAGCATGGAACAACTGAGTAAGGAAGGGTGGGTGTTCTCATGGGACCCTGTCGTAGTGGCAGACACGCCCATGTGGTTTCCGTGGGCTGAGATCGACTTTAAGCACGTGCATTGGCACACTCTTACGCACGAATGCATGGAGTTTATGGTATCTCTTATCATTCTCGGAGCACTGAAGTACAGTGTGGCTACGACGTCACTTTCAACGCTTTTTGGACGTGAAATATCGCCAGATAACGAGATGCGAGTGATCGGTTTGGCCAATCTAGCTAGCGGTTTAATGGGGTGTTGTGGAGGCTGTCACTACCTGTCTGCGATGGGTATCATGAAGCAGTTTGACGCCCACGAGAAGGTCCCAGCTTTGGTATGCGCTTTCCTGGTTGTGGTTCTCTGGATGGTTGGTATCCGGATGCTACAATTCGTACCCAAATTCATCTTTGGCGGCTTGTTACTGAGTGTTGGACTGCACTTTCTAGAGGCCTATTTGGTGACCCCTTTCCACTTTCTCAAGCCGATTGAAAAGGCCACAGTCGTGCTCATTACGTCGAGCTTTTTGATTATTGGTATGCTGGAGAGTGTGGCGCTGGGTATCATTATCTCCATGATCGAACTCATATGGCGTATCCACGCTGTGGGTTGTGTACACCACGAGACAACGGGTGCGCTAACTCGCAGTGCGGTGGACCGCACTCCGGAACAAACGGCGTATTTGGACTCCGAAGGAAGCGCAATTTTTGTATTGCGCCTTCAAGGATATCTGTTTTTTGGAACGTCTGTGAATATCTTAGAACGGATTGAAACTCGCGTGCATTCTCTGGATTTCCCCAAGCTCAAGTTCGTGATTATTGACTTCGGACTTGTGCCGAGCTTTGATGCTACGGCGTTGCTCAACTTTCGCAAGACTTCAGCACTTGCAGACATGTACATGTTCGATATATATTTCTGTGGACTAAAACCCGAGATCGAGCTCGCACTTCGACAGAACCACTACTCGCAACGTGTTCATTTACTTAGTAGCGACGTGGATATCGCACTCGAAATCTGCGAGAATGAGCTGCTTCCTGACGATATAGTGTTAACGCCTCAAACTCCGAGACCTGGGAAGTCATTGAATGAGTGGAAACGAATGAGTCAGTTGGAGCTGTGGGAACATTTCATGACTGCATCGCCGGAACATGACGGCACTGCAAGCTACCAGAAACTGCTTCCTCTTGCGGCGTATCTGGATATTGTCGTGGTGCCAAATGGGTCCCAACTTGTTCCCGAACGTCTGCGTGATGACACGTATTTTATCTGCTTTGGGTACATGAATTTCGTGACGGATTCCGAATTTTCGAATGCTCATAACATTCCTGGTATCCGGTACTCCGACATTGATGGCGGTGCGGGCTATCACGATGTTAATGAGAATGATGAGGGCGATACAAATGAAATGAACGGGGTCTTTAATCGACGTAAATTATCATTCGTGGTGCCGGAAGAATCCCAGTGGACACCGTTCACCACGTCCAAGTCGCGGTTGCTGAAGATCGGACCAGGTTCCGTCATCACGCCCAATGTTGCGGGTATGGATCCTGATTACAAATACTTTGCTACATCGGACTGCGTCATGCTGCGTTTAAGGGCAGTAGCAATGGAGACTTTGGAGACGCGTGCACCACACACGGCAGTTGCAGTGCTCAAGCTCATCAATGTGCGCTTGGCATCACGCTTCCGCCACTCCAGCAAACGCGTCTCACAAATGTCTTCGCTGCTGTACAAGTAGACACAAAGATTCTATTAGATATTCGTGAAACTAATAATTCAAAACCTCCGGTCCATGTGTATTTCTGTTGGGGATGAAAGTGGCTTCTAACGAGGTATAGTTCTAAATCTCTGCTGAGTATCAACCGATTGGTTTTCAGTACCAGAACGTCGAGCCGCGGGAATATCAAATTCATTCCGCAATTTGCACTGGAAATAGCTAGTGTTTCTTGATTGCACGTCCTCCAGCAAACCAATCAATCATTGTAAATCCTACAATCTCAAAAGGTGGAGACTGTCAAAGATTCAAAGGTTTTTGTCCGGATATACTTGCAATTTCTTCCAGCACAGCGGAAGACCATCACTCGCCTGTGGGGTTTATCTTTCCTCGTCGAAGACATCGTTGTGAGTGACTGTCACAGCTTATGACCTTGTCCATCTACTCGATACAGTAGGTTGCCGTAGGCTTTACAGTTAGTAAATTTGTACAATGCAATACTAAGCACCACTACAGTGTAGTGCCCACTTCCAGGTGGGGTACTTGATTATGTTGTAGAATTCAAAAGCAAACTCTTTCATTGACATGGCCGATTTAGGTGACCCTCGAGTCTTCGCTGCTGGTCGCTGAACCGAATAAATTCATTGGGCCCGCGACAGGAACGAAGTCTCTAATGCTGCATTCCCTTATACACTCTTAACTCTTCTGGCACACCGACCTGCCGCCGCTCTTTGGGGCGTGCTGTGGGCATCCAGTCGAGTCTTTAACCTTGATTTTGTCTCCATTCATCTCGTTCTCTTCACTCCACGTTCTCAGCAAGGAATTTCTTGGTGAGTTCGCTGATCTCCTCTTGTCCCAGCAAGAATCCGTCGTGACCGTGAGGCGACGACAGCGCTGCGAACTGCGAGTTAGGCAGCAAGTCGGCGATCTCCTGCTGCTCCGACAACGGATACAGTACATCCGAGTCAATACCGATAACCAATGACGGCTGGGCCAACGATCCCAGAGCCTGTTCGACTCCACCACGGCCACGACCGACGTCGTGTGTGTCCATCATGTGTAGCAGAGTCAGGTACGAGTTAACGTCGAAGCGAGACAGAAACTTCTCTCCCTGGTACTCTAGATACGACTGTACTACGTAGCGTCCGTACTTGGAGGCCAGCTTGTCGTCCAGAGCAGCTTCTTCTTGGCATCGGCCGAACTTGTCGGCGTACGCGGCGTGAGTACGGTAGCTCACCATGGCAATCTGGCGAGCCAGCGCAAGGCCGGTATTAGGAGGAGCGTCGGGCGTGTAGTGGCCGTTGCGGAAGTTCGGGTCCATGTAGATGGCTTGGCGTTGCAGTTCGCTGATGCCGATCTGCCACGCCGAGTGCTGGGCGCCGCATGCGATAGCCACGAAGCTCTTGACAAAATCCTGACCCTGGAACGCCCACTCGAGCGTCTGCATGCCGCCCAGTGAGCCGCCGATAACGGCCTGTACCTGACGCACACCCAGTGCGTCCTCCAGCAGTTGACGTTGCAAAGCAACGGCGTCGCGTAGCGTAACAGCGGGAAAATCCGGGCCGTACGGGAGTCCTGTGACTGGGTTGATGGAAGTAGGACATGTGCTGCCGTAACACGAGCCCAGTACGTTGCTGCATACGATGAAGTACTTATCCGTCCACTCGGGCGTGACCATGGCGTCCCAGTATTGGTGTACCAGTGAGTGGCCCGTGAGTGCGTGGCACAGCACGATCACGTTGTCCCGCGCCGCGTTCAGCTTGCCGTAGGTGGTGTACGCCACCTCCGGCGCCACGAGCATCTCCCCCCTCTCCAGTGTCAGTGACCCAGGCAATTGGTATACGCCCGAGACGGCACTGGGATGCGCATTGTCGTTGTACTCCTCCTCAATGTATTGGCCACAGGATGGACCTGAGGCTGTGGATACCTCGGGGGCTATCGAAAACCGCCGAGAGAGGAGGGGGTACGATAACGAGGAGGAAGAGGCTCGCGAGACGCGACGCACGGCGCGGTGCAACATGATGCAGTGCTGTGGACGGACGGACGAAGTGCAGACCTGGACCGGAGACGCTCTTTTGTCTTGGGCGCAAATCGCAGAATGGCTTGACTTTAGACCTCCACCACCGGTCAAAGTGCATAAAAACCTCCAATAACACATGGGACCAATACGCAAGTAGTTTATTCCGGTCGATGTCCTGGTTGAGGAAACTGCTAAACCTAATAGTGCTCCAGTTTTGTAACACTGGCGTCTGTCATGATGTGGTTCACCTAATTCCAATCATTTACGTGGACCACCTCTCTGAAGTAACGGCAAGGCCCCCAAAATCGGCCCGTCAGATCCAAAGTACAAGGGAGCAAAACGCGTGCCTTCACCCTCATTCGTCGATATCCTACGCAAGTCAAACGTTTCGGATCTCCCCAAGTCTACATCTCCAGCCATGAAGGTTCTGGTACCCGTGAAGCGCGTGGTGGACTACGCCGTCAAGATCCGCGTGGAGCCCAAGGGCGTGGATCTTAAGAACGTTAAGATGAGCATGAACCCCTTCTGCGAGATCGCCGTGGAGGAGGCCATCCGCCTCAAGGAGAAGAAGGTGGCCTCCGAGATCGTCGCCGTTTCTATCGGCCCCAAACAGAGCCAGGAGACCCTGCGAACGGCCCTCGCCATGGGTGCGGACCGTGGCATCCACATTACCACGGACATGCGCACGGACCAGGAGCTGCAGCCTCTGGCCGTAGCTAAGCTGCTCAAGGAGGTCGTGGCAAAGGAGGACCCCAAGCTCGTTATCTGTGGCAAGCAGAGTATCGACGCTGACGCTGCCCAGACCGGCCCCATGCTCGCCGGTCTGCTGGACTGGAGCCAGGGCACCTTCGCCTCTGAGGTCGCTGTCGAGGGTGACGCTGTCAACGTCACCCGTGAGACCGACGCCGGCGTTGAAACGCTCAAGCTCGGCCTGCCTGCTGTTGTGACCGCCGACCTGCGTCTCAACGAGCCCCGTTACGCTACGCTGCCCAACATTATGAAGGCCAAGAAGAAGAAAATCGAGACCCTCGCGGCCGACAGCTTCGGCGTGGACCTCACCCCGCGCATCGACGTGGTGGAGGTCAAGGACCCCGCCTCGCGCAAGGCCGGTATCAAGGTGGCCAACGTGGACGAGCTCGTGGACAAGCTGAAGAACGAGGCCGGTGTGATCTAGAGAGGCATATGAAAATGCAGTTTAGTAACGCTGCGAGTAAAATGCACGTAGTTGAGTTGCACCATATACTTGCACCTTAAAGCACTTTTCCTGAAAAAACAAGTTCTTGCCTTGACTGCTCATAGCTAATGGCCCACCATAATAAAAAAAAAGAGATCAAAAGTAGAAACCAATGCGCACTTTTTCTATACAAAGTACTTTTCTCGGTGTGTATACATGCCATATACGCGTGTATAAAAGACACTATGACACTTTTTAATACCCTCCTGTCAGTGTGGATACAGAAATGAAACGTAATACTAGTAGTGGTTTACTCAGCTTCTACACGTAGATCAATATTGACACCATCGCACAGCAATTCACGTTAAGTCCACGACAAACTAGGGAAGGATACGTTATACTGGAGCATGTATGTCATCTACTTTACCTAAGCCGTTAGATCGAGGCCATGCTTCAATGACGTTCGCCAAGATACCTCCGATTGGGCATGCCACAACGTATTTGATGGCGGCTGAAATGCACACTCCCCAACTTCACATTATTCAATTCCTACAGCAGTCCTCAAGTCAACAACCTCGACGATGCAAGGGAATACTTTCGACAACGCGTGCAAGATGGACGATGCTCTTGGCAGCCTAGTGGAGCTTATGGTCAAGATCACGCCCTTGTCCGCGTTTTTGAGTTGGGACTTTCATGACCTCGGTGTACTGGTTCCAGAATGGGGTATCTAGTCGCTCAAGATGTTGCAGACCAAGCGCATGGAATCGACCGAAGATTAACCCCGCAGTAAACCCCCGTTTTGCTTGGATACAGCATGCTGTCAGCCGCATACTCAATGCACAAGGGACATCGTTGGCCATGGATTGAGCCTTCACTGTTATAGTTTGAGCTTTACCAACATTAAAAAAAAAACTTGACGTGTCTAATCGAGCCCACCATTCCGTAACGCTTCCTTTGTTCTTTCGTACTGGGAATTTAATCTCTTCAAGCCTCCCACGAACTTGAATTGTATAACAACAGTCTGACTTCATGAAACCCGCAATGGACGGTCATGGTACATGTACAAGCACCGCGAGCTGAATAAATGCAGAGTTCTCAAGCTGGTGGTAGAACGAAATCCATAGGTAATTGTCCGCAATGTTCAGAAGAATTGAGGATTATCCTTTTTATACCTTTCCTTGTGAAACCGGACGGAAACGGAAATGAATGATCCCTAATTGATTCTAGGCCAAAGCTTTGGACAGCTTTAGCTGGCTGAACAGCCTAACCCATCTAATTTCATTGGCGGGGGCAGGGGCAACCAAGGTTTGAGCGAATGTTAATA